TTTTTTTTTTTTTTTTTTTTTTTTTTTGGCTTCGCGTTCGGTTTGAACGGCCGAACGATATATATATATATATACATATATATCGTCAAATAGAATATATATATATATATATACAGGGTTACCTGACCGAACGTTCGGGAGCCCTTGGGCTGGCCCCCGAACGTTCGGGTATTCAGGGTCCCGTTCGGGGGCCGAACACCTCCAGGTTCGATAGTATACCAACTGTTGTCAATGAAGCGGAACCAAGCAAACTGATACGACAGGCAACACATAGTTCAACGAGAAAGGACAAGGCTCAACATTCAAAAGTTGACGACAGACAACACACAGTTCAACGAGAAGAACTGACCAGAGCAAGAAGGACAGAGCTCAGCATTCAGAAAGTTTACGAAGATGACAAACGAATTCTCCCGAACGCGAGGGCATAAAATTCAAAATGAAGCACAACCCAAAGCTCGAACCGAATCATGAGCATAACAGCTCGTAGTCGTCAAAACCCAGGTCCGAGCTACTGGCGGTCGACCCTACATGTTTCATCCGGCCGCCAGAGCCGGAAACATCAGGGGTCTTCTAAGCGACGGAGATGAGAACTGAGTTATCATATTGCAACTTATAAGAATGCAGCTAGAGAGTAAAAATACTCGGAAACACAGTCTACTCACTCCGTACAAAGATGAGACCCCAACGCCTACAAGAAACAGGCCGACCCCACCCCCTCCTACCTTGAATCATTACCGAGCTAAGGGGACAGACGTGACCCGGTACCCTTCGTCAGTATAGCAGGGCAGAAAAAGCGGTGCCCCCTACCTATCACGTCTCACCCCTATTTCTCAAAACCCGTCCGGAAGGCAATGTCCAGCCCATCAGCAATCTCACCCACCGATCCCAAACACCTTCGAACTTGGATGAAAAATTCAACAAGGCAGTATCGAAATAGTCATCAAAGAACCCGCGAAGTCTAAGTTCAATTTTCAGCGAAAGGAAAAAGTTCCCCTCCATCTCCTCCATATCGGTAAAGCGCCTCGCCGGATACAAGAAAGAGATAATTACCGCAATTTTCTGCTGGCGGTTCGAATAGGAACAAGCATCTTGCAGATTCTGAAACCTAATAACTCCACTCCTAACCGCAAGTTGGTTCTTCAAAACAACAGCACACCTCACACCGAGTGGTGCCCCTAGGTCCTCCAATACGCAACCCAAGAACTCCCATGGTCCGGAACGGTTCGTACATTCAAGGGTAAGGTTCTTACCATACGACTTCTCAAATCTGCCTAAAATCCTCCATGCATTTTTCTCACTCTCCTTGTCTTTCTTCCGAAACTTGATAAAAATCGTCACATCGTCAATGAGTCGAATACCATGACCAAGGCTCGATCGGCACCTAGAGATAGCAGGAACACAAATTCGGAGTGGGCGCACAACATACAAGCGATGGCAGGGCTGGCAGGCTTCCCCATAGGGATACCAACCTTTTGTCGCAGCACGGCTCCACCAACCATGGTAAAGGTATGGACAAGATCGAAGGCGATAAAATTCAGAATTTGACAAAATTCCACGCACTGCCAGCCTTCCATTTTCCTCCCCCTGATTAATTTAACACCTTTACCAAGCTTCCGGATCATAGCCCTTTCTACGCCAGATTTAATCCAAAAATCGATTAACCATTCCAACGACCTTATGATTCATTGGTGTGGTAGATTGCAGAACATTTCTTTCACATCATAGGCTGCAATCAGAAGTTCCTCCCCAGCACACACATCCTTATTCACCATGTGCGTATGCTGCAGCAATAGATCAGTACTGCGCAAGTTGAAATGCGAACGCTTGGGAAGCTGCCATAACATCTCATTGACCACCCTAGATACGATCCTGGAGCCTCGAACATTGGCTTCACTGAAGGAGGGGCAGATTGGTCGCCATTTCGAGATATCCTTATGTTTCGGAATGGCATATGCTCGCCCCAATTTCCCACCCTTATCCCATTTGGCAAAGGCAGTTAAATTCCTAACTCTGTATTCTGACTCCATATCCCGAAGTACCGACACCTCATCTCTCGTCTCCACATCAAAACCCTCATTCTTCAGAAACAGCGTGTCAAGACTATTTTTATAAACCAAGGGCAGCATGTTAGCGTATCTCCCGGGTTGTGATCCACCGGGACAAAAACCAGCCCCTTCATCTTCGTCTTCTAGTCGACAACGTCCTCCTGTCGAACGTAAGTATCCACTTCATCATCCTTTGTATGATTAAGGCACCCGACCAAGTCAAATAGCCCAAAGGTCGGGACCTTGAACCCCACGTCCTGCAAGGCGTTACCTAGCTCACTGTGTAAACGTTTAGTCAAATTGACAGTTCCCGGAACAACAATATTCCGTTTGTTTTTCAACCAAACTGGAACATCATCAACACTACTCAATCGATAACAGATATGACCGTCAGACACAGCACATGACCCAACATATGATTGACAAATGCATGCATAATCACGCGCCTGAGCAACCTCCCGAAAGTTGAAGAGCAACTGCCCGATGTTCTTATTATTAACCCAAACCACTTTAGCACGTTGCATCACCATATCCTTCCACTCCGTCGCGACATCAGATCGTTTGACCAGTCCTTTTCAAAATTTACGGATACCTGATTTACTTAGCCTATGATCGTACGTGACCCGTACCGTCAGCCTTTTCCTGGTATTGACCCCAAAACTTCTATTCAACACCCCAGATAACATCAGTCGAAGGGAGCAGCGCGTCGATTTCGAAGAAAAAGCCCGGATAACCAAATAGGAACGTACCAATTTACCAAACCCCCAGCCATATAGCTCCTTCTGTTTCGACGGCACAGCCAACAGTTCAGCCAAAACAGGCTTGAGATAAATTAATTTCGAGCAAAACGAAATGATCTCAGTGAACAAAATAGAAACTCCCTTGACAACAAGGCTACGACATTTCTTCAAACTGCCAACAAAACCATCAACGCAAACAATGGATGTGTCAAACCTCCTTTTTAACAATTTCCAATTATCCACCAGACGCCCTCCATTATGACAAGCAACTTCGATGGACGAAACTCCTCTACTTAGGCAGTCATCTAGGTTCTGAATCAGGGACGCCGAAACATGCCCCTTGTTTGATCTAAAGACGCAGTGAGGTTCGATCACGGACCTGATTAAGGGATGACCAGACCTCAACTTCTCACGACAACGTTCTCTCTTGCCCTTCCTTTTACGTTTCCCCTTACAATACACATCTCGCCTGTTTAATCCCGGGTTAATTAACCGAATAAAGCCTACCACAAACAGATCCCGCGCCTCACATTCACAGATTGGTATCATAACAAACTGGGCAATTCCGCATCTCCTAAGCCAAAAATACAAACGATGATTCCTTCTCCCTTTATCTATAACACCTGGATTAAGACAGCGGTACAAATGCTCATTCCATCTGGTGGCCAATGATCTACCAGTGGCTCCGATATACAAATGCCGAGACCAAGGGGAGATGAGAACATACACCCATGACCCAGCACAATTCTCCAAGTCAATACCATCAGTTAACACCCTTTCGGCAAAACCCCGGAGCTTCCCGGCCCAAGGAATACAATCCCTGATTATCAGATTCAAAACAATTATCCTGAAGAAAGCATTAAACTCTTTATTCCTCAGGAAAAAGTCCGAGCACACATCATCATCATTCCCCAAAGAACACCTCTTCTCATCATGAGCTCCCAATAAGCAACTTTCACGCAACTTCCTACAATAGCGGGCCCATCTCCAAAGGTATTCGCGTCCGGGAACCAGACCTAAAGCTCCACAGATTTGCCATCCTCAGACACAGATATAGCGTCGGTAGACGGGGAGTCATCCGAGACCGCCTGAATCGAAGGTTGCTTACCTTCCTTAGTGCTCGTATCGTCCTTCTTCCCAAATGCCTTGTCCACCCGGCACTCAGCGATATCCTCAATCATCAGATCGACCGCACGTAGTTTCAGATCAGCTTCGCAGCATAGCATTTCCAGACCCGACTTCTTGTAATTTCTCAAATCTTTTTTCTGTGCTTCAATAAAGAGGAAGCGATCATTGTTCTTATCCGAGCATTCGGCAACATCACCAAGATCCCGCCCGGGAGTCGCTTTTAGTCCCTTCCTTGAAGAACGGTCCGCGACAGCTCCCAGTCTAGCCTTAAGGTTAGTGCCACCGCCTTCACGTGGATGCGCAGAGTCAACGATCGTAGTCTTCTTCATCTATTCTTTGAGTTTGACCACCTCGCCTTCAGCAACGGCCCGTTTCTCTTTCAGAACTTCCGCTTCTAGACTAGCACCCCGATGCATTTCTTTCATCTTCGCATACTCCTTCTTCCATTTGTCCGTTTCACTTAGATTGTCCGTCCATCTGGGCCTAGGAGATCCATATTCGAGACTTCAGGAGTTTCAATGGCAACGCTTCCCCTCTTGTTGCCTGGTCTCAACGCCTCTCTCTTCCACAGCTCCACCTGCTCGCGGTCCTTAACTCCTTGGATCTTAAGCCGGCTAACCTCTGAGCGTAGGCTATCCAACTCTGATTGGAAACTTCCTCTGGCCAGCGCAGAGGTCCTCAATTGATCGATTTCCTTCTTCATCGCGAATACATCGTCTTCCATAACTCTTTTCGCCAGAACTTGTCTTCTAAAAAAAGCTAGTTCCACCTGCAGCTTGGAGACATTGGTGGTCCCATCGACCCCATCACCCGAGGTTAACACGCTCCTGAGTTTCTCGTTTTCCTTACGGATCTTCTCCAATTCTTCCTTAAGGGCTACATCATCACTGCCCTTCTCCTTTAGCCTGCAACTATTCTTTTCCTCCATGCGCTTGTCAAGTCTATCAGTTATTTCAGCTTCCAGCCGCTCACGCTCCTTCCTCCACTCCTCCTTACGTTCTTCTTCTTCTTTTAGTATTTTGTTCCGTTTTTCCTCCTCTTTCCTCTCAGCTTCTTTCTCTTCATCAGCCACTGTTTTTGCGAAACAACGGTCCAACTTCTCCTGATTAGCACGCCAGAAGTTCGATCGTCCGAATGGATTCGGGTAGCCAGAAGAGAGAAAGGCAGCCTGGTTGTTCGAAACTGCGTAGCCTACGTTAGACGAGGTAGAGGTCGGAGCAGGTAGGGTCAGCATAGGCGTAGCATTCGCACCCATAGCGTATCCACGACCATAGCTCCGACGAGGACACTCACGCTGAAAATGAGTAGGAGAACCGCATTTGTAGCAACCGCGAGAAGGGAATTGACCAGACATGGTGCCTGACGAAACACAATGACACGGTATGCCTCACAGTCTACTAGCCACACTCTCGTAGTATTATCTCTACGGAGGTTACGTAGTGGAATAGATGGTAGTATACCAAGTGCTGTCAATGAAGCAGAACCAAGCAAAGTGATATGACAGGCAACACATAGTTCAACGAGAAAGGACAAGGCTCAACATTCAGAGGTTGACGACAGGCAATACACAGTTCAACGAGAAGGACTGACCAGAGCAAGAAGGACATAGCTCAGCATTCAGAAAGTTTACGAAGATGACAAACGAATTCTCCCGAACGCGAGGGCATAAAATTAGAATGAAGCACAACCCAAAGCTCGAACCGAATCATGAGCATAACAGCTCGTAGTTGTCAAAACCCAGGTCCGAGTTACTGGCGGTCGACCCTACATGTTTCATCCGACCGCCAGAGCCGGAATCGTTAAGGGTCTTCTAAGCGACGGAGATGAGAACCGAGTTATCATATTGCAACTTATAAGAATGCAGCTAGAGAGTAAAACTACTCGAAAACAGAGTCTACTCAACGCCTACAAGAAACAGGCCGACCCCACCCCCTCCTACTTTGAATCATTACCGAGCTAAGGGGACAGACGTGACCCGGTACCCTTCGTCAGTATAGCAGGGCAGAAAAAGCGGTGCCCCCTACCTATATATATACAGGGTCACCAGACCGTACGTACGGAGGTCCCAAGGCAGACCTCCGTACGTACGGGCGTTCAGGGTCCCGTACGGGGTCCGAACCCGACGGTGTTCGGCCCCCTCCAAAAATTATTTAAGGGCCTAAAAATATATATTTTTTTCTGAATTGTTTTTTTGTGGGTTTTCTATGACGTGAGGTACATGTCTGTAAATTTTCAAGTCTTTTGGCGAATCGAACTAAGAATTAAAAATCGCCAAAGATGTCGGTGTCAAAACGTGCTCACCCACGTATTTTTTCACTTTTTACTTTTTGTTATCACTTTAGTTCGGGGTCTAAACAATTTTATTATTTTTTGAAAAATTTTTAGTGGGTTTTGTATTATGTGAAGTACACATCTATAAATTTTCAGGGCATTTAGCTACACCAAAATAAAAATGAAAACTCGCCAAAGATAGCGGTGTCGAAAACATGGTCGCGCACTCACTAAATCTATTTATTTATTATTATTATTTTTTATTCTTATTAGTATTTGTTTTCCGTATTTTATTTGTATTTCAAATTTGCTAAGGAATTCGGATGTCATGCTCAGGCAAATATTGTTCAATTTATTTTTCTCCATAACATATCATTTTTTCAGATTTTTTTGATGACTTTTTTTTTTTTTTTTTTTTTGGGGGGGGGGTCGCGTTCGGCTTGTCCCGAACGTCGGTTACCCTGTAGTGAGTGCTCGGCATCCCCAAGGGGTCCCATACGTTCGGGCGTTCGGGTTCGGGCGTTCGGCCCGTCCCGAACGCCGGTTACCCTGTATATATATATATATATCGTCACAAATAGAACTGCCCAGTAAACCGTAGGCAGAGAGAGAGAAGAGGACAACAAACGAGGGGCTGTGACAAACTGTTTCGTCAGAGTTTCACCGATATATATATATATATATATATATATATATATATATTCGTCACAAACATAACTGCCCGATAAACCGTAGGCAGAGAGAGAGAAGAGGACAACAAACGAGGGGTTGTGACAAACTGTTTCATCGGAGTTTCACCAACTAATCAGGAGGCTGAACCCTATATATATATATATATATCGTCACAAACAGAACTGCCCGGTAAACCGCTGGCAGAGAGAGAGAAGAGGACAACAAACGAGGGGCTGTGACAAATTGTTTCGTCGGAGTTTCACTGATATACAGACCTTTCTTTGTTTCGTGGATGTTTTGCTGGTTTTTGAACGGGTGTGAACCCACAGTCTGTAGAGTTTTCCATCTGGTGTGGGTGAGTGATAGTCTACTTTGATTTTGGTTAAGGTAGATTATCATTTACAGTGTAATTAGTGAGGGGATTCTGCAGACTGTTGAGGGTTCAGCCTCCTGATGAGTCGGAGAAACTCCGACNGAAACTCCGACGAAACAGTTTGTCACAACCCCTCATTTGTTGTCCTCTTCTCTCTCTCTGCCTACGGTTTACCGGGCAGTTCTGTTTGTGACGATATATGCTACGACTTCGCTAGCTTCCTGCTACGGTTTTTTTCGGTCAGGTCGAGCGGCCGTGGTCCGGGCCGTTACTATGCGGCCATGTTGTGCCTCTAGTGCCAGCGGCGTGTCTGGAGTGTATTTTTTGGTTGTGACAGACCTTTTTTTGTTTCGTGGATGTTTTGCTGGTTTGTGATGGGGTGTGAACCCACAGTGTGTAGAGTTTTTCATCTAGTGTGGGTGAGTGATAGTCTACTTTGATTTTGGTTAAGGTAGATTATCATTTACAGTGTAATCAGTGAGGGGATTCTGCAGACTGTTGAGGGTTTAGCCTCTTGATGAGTTGGTGAAACTCCGACAAAACAGCTTGTCACAGCCCCTCGTTTATTGTCCTCTTCTCTCTGTCTGCCTATGGTTTACCGGGCAGTTCTGTTTGTGACGATATATGCTACGACTTCGCTAGCTTCCTGCTACGTTTTTTTCCGGTCAGGTCGAGCAAGTTTTTGACACCGCCATCTTTGGCGATTTTTCGTGTTTTTTTGGATTTGTCAAATGCCATGAAATTTTATACATATGTATCTTACATAATACAGAACCTACAAATAAAGTTTGAAAAAATAATAATTTTTTTTCAGGCCCCGAAATAAAGGGAAAACAAAAAGTGAAGAGAGAAAAAACAGAAATTAGTTAGTGGGAAAGCAAGTTTTGACACCATCATCTTTGCCGATTTTTCATTATTGTTTGGCTCTACAGAATGACTTCAAAATTGAGAGACAGGTAGCTTACATTACAGAGAACTCACAAAAACAAAAGCAGAAGAAAATAATAATTTGTAGATACCAAAATAAGTTTTTGCGGAGTCCAAACCCCTTCGAGTTCAGGCCCCGTATGGGGACCCGGATCCCCGAACGTTCGGGGGTCAGCTTAGGGGCCTCAGTACGTTCGGCCTGGCAACTTTGTATATATATATATATATATATATATATATATATTGTCACAAACAGAACTGTCCGGTAAACCGTAGGCAGAGAGAGAGAAGAGGACAACAAACGATATATAAATATATATATATATATACATATATATATATATACAGGATTACCTGACCGAACGTTCGGGGGCCCCCGGGCTGGCCCCTAAACGTTTGGGCGTTCGGGGTCTCGTCCGGCGGCCGAACACCTCCAGGTTCGGCCCCCGCCAAAACCTGTTTCGTAGCCTAAAAAGAAGGTTTTTTTTCTGAATATTTTTTTGTAAGTTTTTCATGATACAACCTGGATGCCTATAAATTTTTAAGTTATTCTGCTAATCCAAAAAAACATTAAAAATCGTCAAAGATAGGGGTGTCAAAACATGCTCGCCCAATCACTATTTTATTTTTTTTCACTTAAAAATTTTTATTTTCACTTTATTTCGGGGCCTAAACAAAATTATTATTTTTTAAAATTTTTTTAACGAGTTACTAATTAAGTAAACTACATATCTATAAATTTTCAGGGCATTTGTCAATGCCAAACAATAATTAAAAATCGGCAAAGATGGCGGTGTCGAAAAGGTGCTGGCACACTCACTCATCTTAATTCTCTTTTTATTTTTTCTTATTTTTATCATAGTGTTTATTTTCTGTATTTGCTTTTTAATTCAAATTTGGTAAAGAATTTGGATGTACTGCCCTGACAAATGTTGTTTAGTATATTTTTCTCCATAACATATGTTTTTTTAGGAATTTTTTGAAACATGTACGTATATATACAATGTCCCGTACGTTCGCGCGTTCGGGTTCGGGCGCTCGGCCCGTCCTGAACGCCGATAACCCTGTATGTATACTTATATACATATATATACAGGGTCACCAGCCCGTACATACGGAGGTCCCCGGGCAGACCTCCGTACGTACGGGCGTTCGGGGACCTGTACGACCGCATTCGTCCCCCGCCAAAGCTTATTTCGGGGCCGAAAAATATATATTGTTTTTTGAATGTTTTTTTGTGCGTTTTGTATGACGTGAGGTACATGCGTGTAAATTTTCAAGTCATTTGGCTAAGCCATATAAGAATTAAAAATCACCAAAGATGGCGGTGTCAAAACGTGCTCGCCCACGTATTTTTTCACTTTTTACTTTTTGTTTTCACTTTAGTTCCGGGTCTAAACAATTTTATTATTTTTTTGAAACTTTTTTAGTGGGTTTTGTATTATGTGAAGTACACATGTGTAAATTTTCAGGGCATTTTGCTATGCAAAAAAAAAAAAAAAAAAACGCCAAAGATGGCGGTGTCGAAAACATGCTCGCGCATTCACTAAATTTAATTATCTTTTTATTTTTATTTATTTTTATTATTAGTATTTGTTTTTCGTATTTTATTTTTATTTCGAATTTGGTAAGGAATTCGAATGTAATGCTCAGGCAAATCTTGTTTAATTTATTTTTCTCCATAACATATTTTTTTTCAGATTTATTTGATGACTTTTTTTTTTTTTTTTTTTTTTTTGGGTCCGCGTTCGACCTGAACGGCCGAACGCATTCCCGAGGGGTCCCATATGTTCGGGCGTTCGGCCCGTCCCGAATGCCGGTTACCCTGTATATATGTATATATATATATATTTATATATATATATATATATATATATATATCGTCAAATATATATATATATATATATACAGGGTCACCAACTCGTTTGTACGGAGGTGTCTGTGCTCACCTTAGCACTACGAACTTTCGGTGTACTGTTCAGGGTCCGAATCCGAAGGCGTTCGGCCTCCACAAAAAATTATTTCGCTGCCTAGAAATAAGCTTTTTTTTTTTTTTTTTTTGTGAGTTTTCTATGATGCAAGGTATGTGCGTATAAATTTTGAACTCAT